AGGCTAACAGCCTCTCAATATACATACAATTCACAGCTTATTAATAAAATACATTGTATATAATCAATGATTTAATAGAAATCCTTAGTTAAGAACATTATTATACTCTGTATAGAATCAGTTTACCAGTTTCCATGGTTTTTTTAAAGAACTTGCGGAATTAAACCAAAACTTATGAAAATGCGATTGCTAACATAGTTCCTGAAACTTTGTGGGCTTTTGCAATTCCCATGGTCCAGACATAATCAATTCTTTGGAGCTTCCGCATTGCAGAAACCAGCAGCGTTTTAATTTCAGCTGACTAAGCAAATGAGAAAATAAGAAAAGTTTACTGATATGTGAGGTCATTTACAACCACAGTCTGCATATAAAATGACAATAAATCTGGATAAGTAATTGAGTACTAGTTATTGCACATCCCAATAATCAAAGAGCCATAAACAAAGTTTATGGGTAAATTATTCAAGTATGAAAATAAATAAGATGCCAGGTTGAAAATATGGAGCTAAAGGGGTTCCTTTTAAGAAATTAGAGGTTTCTTCTGTATGTTTAAATACTGCTGCTGTAACAATCTGAGATATGAATGCCTTGAGCACATTTTTATTAATTTACAGGCCTTAATGTTACATCAGGGTTCTCAAGTCAGCACTTAGATGCTCAAATGCCTGCTTGAGATGTCTAAATGTTCATTTGAACATTCAGATACGAAGAGAAGCCCCCTAACTTAAGTGCCTAGCTTTGTAAATTGGGCACTGGGGCTAACAACACACAGGGCTACAGATTATGAAACATTCCAAAATCTGTGTAGAGGGTGATTTCCATTCTTAAAGCTAACATTTTCCTTTCCTAATAGCTTGAGGCATCAGGAAGGGCTATTAAGCATGAATACACATTGCTCTCTACCGCTGCACATTTGAGAAACCTCCTTGCAAGGATCCCTGATATCCCACTGAAAAACTTCCATGGATCTCAGGGATACAGGTTTTAGCTGTTTGGTTTACAGGCAAAAAAATTGCAGAACCTTTGGCAGAGGTGATATCTTTTATTAGACCAACTAAATAGTTGCAAAAAACATTATTTTTTTTGATTTCCACGGATCTCTGCATCCAAGTTTGGAGGTGAAGAAGGAAGGGACGTGTGGAAGGAACACATCACCGCCTATAGGAGGAATTCTTCTGAAAACAGGGATCAGACTTGACTTACAAGGGACCATGGAAGAGGCACAAGGGAACAGGCCCTGGCAGAGGCATAACTAGCAATGTAGGTGTCTTAAAATAGGGAGGAGATGGGGTCAGAGGGCTGTGAGATGCTGCTGGCAACCTCTTCAAAATCAGTATCCCAAGCTGGTGCTCCACTTCCCCCAGCCTAGCTACATGCTGGGACTCTTGGCCAGTGGCATTTGGAAATTCATGTACATTTTGGGGGAAGATGATAAGGAGAGGAAATTTGTGGTTTCTTCTCCACAGCATGGTCACGAGTATTTGAAGGTAACCAAGAGGTGTTCTTTCCCAGAGCTTTCTCTAGACATTAATCCCAGAAGGGAACCATGCAAATTCAGTGATTTAATTGGCAGTGTTTCAAATAATTTTTTCCCTCCAGAGTGGCCAGTTCCTATACTAATTACAAGAGGAGCTCTACAGGTGCTCCTTTTTGCTTGTGAAATCATAACATTAGGCAGGCTCTTCTATACTAACACTTTTTAAAATGTAAGAGAAACAGGATATCTAGCTTGGTAGGTGAGGGAAATACAGTAGAGCTAATACACAATGACCGTAGACAGGCTTCTGACACATTCTCATGCGGCATTCTCTAAGAAAGCTGGAAACATGTGGGCTTGTTAGTGCAACGGGGGTGTGGTGACTATGGCAGCTGTCCTGGGTGCTGACTTGGGGTGGGCGTGATCATGCTGGCCATTACTGCTCCTGGCTGCGTTGTTATGTCTCTGTTTGGGCTAAACAGAATTGCCATTCGGTGAATACAGAATTGATTAAACAACCACAAGCAAAGAGGAGCCATAAATAGATCAATGTCAGAATGGCAAGAGGTCTCCCATGGGTTTCCATAGGGGCCTGTTCTGGGTCCAGAGCTGTTTAAACTTTTTTTTATTATTTGTTTGCAGGAATGAAGAGAGCTTATTGATCAGGTCCGCAGATGACACAAAACTGGAAGGAGCTGTAAACGTCATGGAAGATAGGATTAGAATTCAAAGGGCTCCTGATAAATGAGAGACCTGGACCATCAATGACAAATGAAAATTTAGCAAAAATAAATGGAAGGGGCTACATCTAGGAAAGAAAAACCAAATGCACACATATAGAAGGTGGGTAACTACCAAGAAGGATCTGGCAGTTCTGCTGGATCACAACCTCAAAATGATCCGCTACTGTGATGCTGTTGCTAAAGAAGCAAACATAATTTGGGGATGCATTTATAGAAGTATTGCATGCTAAACACCAAAGGTAATGGTAACAGTACCATTCTTCTTGGTGCTGGTTAGGTGTGAGCTGCAGTGCTGTGTCCAGTTCTGGAGGCTGCATTTTAAGAAGAACGTAGGGAAGCAGGAGAGGATCCAAAAGCGAGTGACAAAGATAATAGCTGGAAAAAGATAAGAGAGTTAGATCTATCTTTTGTCCAGAGAAAGGAGTTTCTGGAGGGAAGTAGAGAGGACAAGAGAGCAGTTTCAAACATTTGAAAGGCTGCCATGAAAAAGGTTAAGAAGTCCAATTCTCCTTTGGTAAGGAGTGCAGGAGAGGAGACAGAGGGTTTACCCTGCAACAAAGGAGACTAAAATAAACTCTCAGGAGAAACCTCCTAACTGTAAGAGCAGTAGGACAATGGAACAAGGTAGGCAGGGAAGTTATGGATTCTCTTTTATTGGAGGTTTTCAAGAAGAGGCTGGACAGGCATCTGTCTGGAATGGGTTAGGAACAGCACATCCCGTATCTGTGCTGGAGGTTGGACTAGATGGTCCTTAAAGCTCTTTCCAAGCCTATGATGCTCTTTCCTTCAAAACCCTGCAATGACTTCTTCAGCAGACTTCTAACCTTTGGAACATGCACATTAAGAAAAGGTTTTTCACTAGTGTTCAGTTCAATCTGAACGAAGGACCATTTTTCAGCAGGTTGCTTCCCGGGTTAAGCAGTCCATGCAAATGACTCCAAAAGGTTCCAGTGCCATGCTACATGAGCTTAATCTACCTCTAGGCATTACTCTACTGTCAGTTATACCACTGTTGATCAAGTACACATCCAATGAAGAAGTGAGATGAGAAGCTGGACAGGCAGCCCCTCAACTTCAAGCATCTCTCCAGCAACAGACTACCTGACTCCTATTCTCACCGAGCCACCAGGCCTTGTTACAGAACCAGATGCAGCTGGGCCCCCTCATCAACAAAGACCACATCATCAGTGGACCAAACAACATGGGTCATAACATAGGGGGCTAATTACTTGCCTCTCTACCAACATCATATATGTCATCACCTGCTTACAGTTGGTCTACATTGGTCATCACCTGCTTACATTGGGTAGTCAGGGCAATCTCTGTTTGAAAGAGTGAATGGACACCAATTTGAAATCAATTCCAGAAAGACAGACAAGCCTGCGGCAGAACGCTTTAACCTCCCTGGACATTTCACCGCTGACCTCAGAGCAGCTGTTGTTAAACAACAAAACTTTACTGAAAAACTTGAGCATGGAACTGGGAAATGAGCAGTCATCCACAGACTGGATTGTGTTAAGTATGGTTTCTACAGAGACTCTGGATTCTTGTCCCATTACATAGGCTAGCTTCTATAACCCTTGTGTCCCTCAGTGTGTTAACTACTTTGTTTATTCCTTTTAATCTCTTCACCTATCTAAGCCTTTCTCAGGAGTGCTTCCTCCTCCTATCCTTTCCTCCCCTGCTTTCTACCCTTCTTATTTAAATGACTTTATTCCTTTCTCTTTAGCACCCATGCTCTCTTCAAGTCCATTCATAGCATCTGACAAAGCAAGCCATCACTTACAGAAACTTGTGAACAAGTTAGTGTCAGAAAGGGCAAAAAACGTGGCGAGTACAAAAGCCCTAAGGTGGTGTCCTGCCTGCTTTCTGCCTGATCTCTCCAAAGCAATAGAAATTTGCCAGTCCTTTCAGTAATTGCTTAAGACTTGTTTCATTATTTAAGCACAAGACTCCAAGAGACAATGGGTGAGCTATTTCTACTGTAACACGCTGGTGCTATTATAAATGATGAAAGCAAAACTTCTGTGCTTGTTAACATCCCCAGACAGTGCTAACCACTCATCACTCAAAATTTTCAGGTTTCCTACATACTAGGTAATCAAGGAAAATCAGCTTCATGCAAACCCCCCAAAAGTATCCCATGTTACAAAATTCACTCTTTCTCTTACTTCAGTATCATTTAAAAATGATCAGTTAGCACTTATTTCCTTTTTAATTTGGGGAAAAAGATAGCCCTAGTCTAAAACTTAGTGGTAACCTGGGGTGAATTTTTATAGGTGATTTATGTCTAAACTGCTGAAGAAACGGGTTTATAATGAAAGTGATAGCTCAACCTTAACTGCAGCACTGGGAACACCATAATTAATGTATTATTTCGGTTTTGGGAGACACTGACAGTTGCTTTTTGTTCTTGGGAAGAAATTTATAGCATGACTGAGAAAGGAGTCATGGAAAAAAATTACACAAAGGGGGAACAGAAACCCTTGTAGCAAAGACATGTCCTTATAATCTCCCACCCAAAGCCTATAAAACTCTGGCACTGACAGTGTTTTCTCAGTGCTGTTATTTATACCTTTCTCTTCTACTAGATGGCAGTGTGACATGCTTAGAAAATATATCCAGTGGCAGTGAAGGGGCTTTTTTGGTTTATTTGTTTTAAAGTGATCAGTTGAATTGAGCAGTGTATCAGCATCATCAAAGTTGGTGGGGGAGGAGGGAAGACTAATAAAATGTGTCAATAAATAAAATAAGAAATAAAATCAAGTCAATTTACTCACTGGTTCAATGTTAAATGCAAAAAGTGCATACTCCCGGTCAGGTGACACTTCATACCGAATAGCTTTTAAGGAAACCTAGAAAACAAACAGATTTTAAAATAGACATGTAATTTTACAGGTTTAAAACAACCCATGTCTGGACTTAATCTGAGGGCAGGTACAGGGAGAAAAATGCTGTTTGATTATCCCTTGCAAACCCCAAAAAGGTGCAGGTGGAGCTAGGAATCTGCACCACTCTGTGTCACTTTCTCACACATTTGTGTCCTTTGGTTATTCCCTTCCCTCATGTTTGTGTCCCTCTCCAGTACCATCTACATGAAGCCACACCAAAAAAAGTTGTTGGAGGAGGAGCAGGGTGAATGTGCACTAAAACAAGGGGATGAAACCAAAGATAATGCCATGCTGAGGAGGTCGCATGCACTTTTACAATATTGAGCCAATGTTTGCTCCTTCTTAGGTTGTGGACTCCTCAAGCAGGAACCAGGGGATGGCACACCATATGGTGACATATGAAAATTACATTGCGAGTTGGTCAATGAAGCTGCCCAAGGAATCAAGCTCCCCATCCCCTTACCATAATTAGGCAGGCAACCCGTACTTTGGACCCGACAGTGCAGAGCTGCATAGTGTTAAGGTGCTAACCTAGAGTGCAGACCTGTACCAGATGGGCAGGAATGTGTTTGGAGGAGGAAGAGAAAAAGGGAAACCTGGTACCACTCAGTTCCTCCCGAACTGGATGGCATCAGAATCACTGGTCCAAGTAGCAGAATCACTGGATCACAGGTCATCAGTAAACTGTTACAACTGCTTACCCCCTACTCTAAGGGAGCGGTGCCTTAAAAGGTGTCCTGGTCTCAAATCTCTTCAGGGGCTGCTCCCAGAGCTTTTTGCAGACCTCCCCTTTTGCTCAGCACTTTGCAGACAGTTAAATTCTAGCTCTAGATCTATTAGACTTAATAGAGAGCAGATCCCGAAATGCACAATGCTCGTGCAGTTCTCTCTTTCCTGCGCTACCTCTAACTTTTAGAGTGCTGATGGCTCTTCCCCTCTTTGCTGCATTTTAATACATATTGCCAGCTCACAGCATGCCAAAGGCAAAAAGAGGTCACTTGTGTATACCTTCCTTTTGCTTGCTTTTAAACCTCACTCTCCTATCCGACAAATTGGACGGCATTCTTTGAAAGATTACCTAGTGGCATAACAGAGGGGGACCTTGGGCTTGGGGAACATGTATAGTATTGCAGAAGCAGGACACCTCTGCAAGGTCAGCGGGAGTACTTGAGATGCCTGAGCGCATAAGGAATCAGATGGGACATCCAAAGGCAAAGGAAGGCAGGGAGTAGAGAAAGCAGTTTAGAATGGAGGGGTGCCAGGAAGAGTGTGCCTGCCAGCACTATCAGCATGAAGACAGATTTTGTTTGCAGATATAGCAATAATGCAGAGGAAGGAAGACCGGCCAAGTTGCAACACAAAGCCAGGATGCAAGGAGAGAAAGGCAGCATGTCAAAGGAGGGCACAGCAGTGGCTCTCTGATGCAGAGGTGTGGTTTGCCACATGGAGCTTCTTGCTCCATCCTCTGCAGAATGCATATATGCTTTGGGGGCAACCAGACAGCTGCAGAAATGGAAAGAAGTGGGCTACCTGGATGGTAAAAAAATCAAGAGGCAGTGGACTAAAGAATAGACTGTGAAAGTCTATTCAAAGCCATAGCAAATTTTAGTTCAGTGAACAGCTGTTGGTTGTTAAACAAATCTAGGCAGCTCCTTTAGACAGAGTGCAGTTCTCTGTGGGATGAACAGCACAGAACAGCCACACACACCGTCATCACATGCAGCTGGAAAAAGAGTTCAACATATGCCTCCAGCTCCTGCTAGTCTATGCCCAACACATGGCACTACCAAGCAGACAATGAGTAAAAGAAAGAGCCACAGACTTGGGATGATGATATTCTTACATCATATGGGAGGAGGCATGAGACCTGAGACAGTTCTGCACTGACCCGAATAGCACAACTCATTCGTACTGGAGGAGACTCAATTCAACTCTCCTGGCAAAGATAGTTACACTTTAACTCAAGACCTTGAAGGCTGGCAGGAAATGAAAGGAAGAGAAGACGGGAAATCATGCTCAGGGGCAACCAGCATGGGTTCATCAAAGGTAGGTCCTGCCTGACCAACCTAATTGCCTTTTATGACCATGGAACTAAATCCTTGGATGATGGTGTTGCCATGGACATAGTCTTTCTAGACTTTAAGAAGGCCTTTGATACTGTCTCTCACCCCATTCTCATTAATAAATTAAGTGACTGTGGCATTGATGCCTGCACAGTTGGATGGGTAAAAAACTGGCTGATGGGGCGCACCCAGAGAGTAGTGGTGGACGGGTTGTACTCAACCAGGTGAGATGTGAGCAGTGGGATCCGCAGTCCTCAGGCCTGCACTGTTTAACATCTTCATCAGCGACTTGGACGAGGGGGTGGAAAGCACGCTGTCCAAATTTTCTGATGACACTAAGATGTGGGGCGAGGTGGGCACACTTGAAGGGAGAGAGAGGCTG